CATCTGTGCCAGGCAGAGCGCGTCCCAGGCTCCCTCCAGGTGTGTGTCTGCCGCCCGCCCCTCCCCTGGGGTCTGGCACACACAGGGCAAGGTAAAGACTTCCAAGCTGGATGCGCTTTCTTCCCTAAACGTGCTTCTGCATCTCCCACCGGCCAGAGAGACCACTCACTCTGGTCATCCTAAGATACGGTTCAGCTCTTTACATGGAGAGGGTAAGGCACGACAGTAGCTGACAATTTATGGACCATTTTGCTGAGGTCTAAGCGCAAATCCATCTTTCATATTGGACGTTGCCACCAGTCAGCAGGGGGTGTTTTAATTATTATTTCATGTTGGCATGAAGACACTGTCAGATAGGGCCCTTCAAAGGAAACTCTTGCTTTGGGGGGCCGTGGGAATCTGTACTTTTGGCCCATGCTTCCCAGCATGTGAGGCATGTATTGGTTTCCCTAAACTATACTCCATGGAGTACTTACCCTACCGCTTGAGAGATGCAAGACGCGCTTCCCAGCGGGATCTGTCTCTCCCGGGATGCTCTGAGCCAGCGCTGAAGGGCAGGTCTACGGTGAGTAAAGATCGTATCGAGGATGGATACTGGTTTTCTATTTTATATATAGTAGTGCGGATACTTTTAATCCCAAGCTCCTAAGTTATCACCCCCCCTTTCCCCTTCGGTAACCGTAAGTTTGTATTCTATGTCTGTGAGTCTATTTCTGTTTTGTAAATAAGTTCCTTTGTATCATTTTTTAGTACCACATAGAAGTGATATCGTATGACATTTGTCTTTCTCTGTCTGACTTACTTCACTTAGTATGATAATCGCTAGGAACATCCATGTTGCTGACAAGGACCTAGCAAATAGCAAAGGCAACTATATTCAATATCTTGTAATAACCTACAATGGGAAAGAATCTGAAAAAGAATGTGTATATATACACATATATATATGTATGTATATGCATTCTTATATATGTATACATACATAGTCAATCACTTTGCTGTACACCTGAAACTAACACAACACTATAAATCAACTATATTTCAATAAAAATTATGAAAAAGAATAGATGCTAAGACAGTATTTACACCCGGCCACTTTTAGTCTTGTTTTCACATCTCATTAGCTACTCAGATCTGGAGAAAGAATTATACAGAAGACTAAAGCATACAGAATTGAAATATGCACCTTATTTGAGTTTTGTGGAATATCAGCTCTCTACTATCAAGAATTACTTGAACTGATGCATACTGGGAAAATACTATTTATTTTGTATAGCACTTTTTTTTTTTTTGCCTACGTTCCACAGTTTGCTCATGGTAACAGCAACAAGGTTCTCATGTCAAACATTCTTCCTTTTATAAGTTGAATAACGTGATGCTACAGGTCTACTAAAAAATGGAATTCCAAGGTTAAAATGCCCATACCAATGGTACTGAGAATCCAGAGTTCTACATTTTGATTTCTGAAATATGATCAGAAATATCATAATTCTGGGCCATAACTAGAAAATTAGTTACAGAAAATCTAACTTAAAAAAAAACTGCCAACAAACCCCCAAATTAATAAAGTTTGCATAAATTTTGTCTCTAAATAAGTATTATAAATAACATAATATTGAACGAAACAAGAGAATGGAAAGTATAGAGAACAGTAATTATGAATTCATCAAATCAGGCCATTTGCACCTGGGCTACATTCATAAAACTTGCATTGTAACCCCTAGGAAATTATTATCCACAGTTGATCGTGCTTGGTCTTTTCCTACCATATATTTTCTGAAAGTTGCACGTTGCTCATCTGTTTTTATACAAATCTAAAATATGGTATTTATCCCATATGTACACGTGGTCAATTGATCAAGAAAAACATCTTCAGTACTGAGCACTCCCTGCCCCATTTTAAAGGAAATCCTGACGGTAGTGAATTCACGCTAATTGGGAGCTCTACGAAGGGGTTAAAACGTTACCCATTACAAGTCAGGTGGCCATTATAAATGTTACCCAAATAAAAGCCAGAAACAGGAAGCCAAAAAGCAGGTCCCTACGGCAAGCATGTCTTAAATGATATCATTTGTCAAGTTTCCAGCATCTTGTGGTGGCAAACACACAAAAAGAAGGTCTGTGTTGTACTGAGGACATTACATCCTCATTAGCTGGAATGTTCCTTAAGCACATAATGCAAGATTTTCATTTTAATAAGAAGCAGCTACTTGTCACTGCACTTTCATTAAATACTGAATGTAATACTAATGACCATTTATAGATGCTCCATTCTACTCCTGAGAAACTCCATTCAGATGAAATCATATAATAACAATTTATAGAACATGTCATGCAAAACTTCTGTGTCATTTCTTTGCAAACTATTCCCTGATCTTTTTTTTTTTTTTTAATGCTGAAGTCGGTCAACAGCAGGAGTCATCATCTAAGGGACCTGCAATGACATTGTTGGTATTTTTTGCGTGCAAGACAAATTGGAAGGAAGAGCATTTGGCTTTTTAGAAGTCACAATGGAATGGGAAGGAACAGTGGGGACTCCCTTGTTTCTTGGCATACTTACTGGAGTCAAGGCTCTCCATCCGCCCAGCCAGAGACCTCAAGGCTGATGTGTAGAGAAGGCCACCCTGAGAACCCAGAAATAATTCATCCACCGTGATCGTTCAGCCCTGGCCCCGTCTCTAAACAAAGACTGACAATTGCTCTGAATTATGGATGTACTTTTTGTGATATGTAATACAGTTCAGAAGAAAGGTGGTGAGAGCATTGTACCATTTCACCTCCCATTAGAGGCTGGTCTTGAACGATAATCCCAGAAGATGAAACTGATGCTGAACTATGACCCTCAATTTACAAATCATTTTTCAGAAGAATAAAAAAAAAAGTTTAAACATATTTTTGGCATTATCTGAACGGGCAGAATCTTTCATGCTTGTTTTCTAAGAATAAATGAAAACAGCATGCACTGTAGTTTCTTAGTGTGGGGAAAGACAGAGCAGGGTTTTCAGATGATATTTTATTTTAAACCTGGGTGTTTGCATTTTTTTTTAACATTGCTGAATTTAGTATATGCCTTCAAAACATAATCAATTTCCATTCTGTAGCTTAAGGGATCCATCAGTTAAAATGTTGGTCTTTCATCTTTATTACTCTCCCATTAAAATGAGAGAAACCGGGACGCAATTCAGTTTAGAAGAAGCAATTTAGTTGGCGATGTCCTTACTGAAGTCTTGACAGAAGAAGAAAACGCGTGATTGCTTGGACTTCACACATCTAGCTGCACAGGAAGCCACTAAGCCTATCAGACAGATACTATGTTAAATTGAATAATATTCTTTGATGAGATGATCTGATTACACGTTTCGCCACTACTGGTCATTCCCTTGCACTTACATTCATAAAACCCGTCCCCTCCCCTTTGTTTGTGTATCGACAAGGTAGGCAAAGTCTCCTTCCGTTTTGCTATAGCTGTGAGGTCTGAAAGGGACAGGTTAATAACAGAGCAGCACCCTGGACCAGCTTCTCTGGTACCCTGAACTAGTAACCCTTTGCTATAATGAGGACACAAAGAGCCTCCCATCAGGCTGCTCCCCTTCTTCATAACTCAAAAGCGTCACAGTGGCAATAGCCTCCAGTGCTATTTGTCTTGAGTGCAGTTGTGACACTTCGGCATGATCCATAATTTGGTAGCTATTTACCGTGACATTTCCCTTCAGTGCAGCCATAACATTCAGTGAAGCCATTATTTGGTCCCATTTACCATATAAATTGTATTGTTGTGTATGCATGCTAGCAGCTACATTAGGTACCTGAAAATGAGTAAATCTTGTAAAATAGATACTAACAGCTATTCAGCAGTAAGCCTTGCACCTCAGACAGAAGGAAAGAAAAATTAAATACGGTCACCAAGTTTCCTGGAGCATCTTTAATTGCTTGTCTATTTATTTAGCATGTTAGAGACGCCAAAACCCAAGGCTTTGAAAAATACTCTGGCGGGCTCTGCCTTCATTAGAAAGGCACGATGGCATTCCCACCTTAATGATGAAAACCGGAGCAGCCTTTGGTGAGCTGAAGGTTAGAATGAAGGCGGATCAGCGGCAGGCTTGATTCAGAGGGGAAGGCGCGGGACTCGTTACTTTCGTGTCTGTGACATCAGGCGATAGTGACAAGAAGCATCTCATTCCACCAGGACATGTGGAGAAGTAAAATGGGAACAGAGCATCAGTGGCTGCTGTAAATTTCCACGATCAGAGATAAAACACACCTTCCGAAAGTCTCTAACACGAAGCACAATCATTTTAGATCATTTTGGTGCCTACTTTGCACGATGCTATTTGACGTACCCTACTTAGGCTTATGAAGGGTGCTGTTAGGTACCTACAGTGCTTTCCCCTGTATGGCCCGTGTTTTGTTATGTAGACCCTCACTGTGGATGGAGCACATCCTTTTCCCTTTCCCGTGCCTGTATTAAATTTTTAAAGTCCCCTGAATCTCTATAGTTTCCCTTTCCCAAACCTGCTTTTTGTCTATATAAGTTTTCAACACTAATTTTCTTCTTAAGGGAAGAGAGAAATTTTCCATCCTACACGTGCCTCACTGGGGTGACTGCGCGTAAAAGCCATTAAATGAGAGATGCTTCTTTACAAGAGGTCTGTGCTCACTTAATTTTTTTTCTAATAATCTAACAAAGTCAAAGTTTTGGGAGAATCCCTCCAAATTTCTATTTAGATAGTTGGCTGGTGATTTATAGAAAAAGAAGGGCCATTTCCTGAGAATATGGACTCTGAGAAATGGCTGACTTTTGCTATATCTCTCATTTATTAACAACTTACTAGCATCAGACCAGACTCTTCCAAAGCAAAGAACTCATGAACTATTTTCAAGACCAATTTTAAAATCTCATCAAGCTGAAGACATACTGATTTGATCAGATCTTGCATCAGGAATTAATTTAGTTCCCTGGGACAATAAAATCTGGAATGAGACCGTCCATGAGTAAAGAATTGAATGTAAAGGTTTTACCTCTGTGCCATTGAGGGAAGTTTTATTAGCACATTTTTTTTTTTTTTGCAATGGAGGAGCAAAAAAAAAAAAGAACGGAAATAAAGAAAAGAGAAAGAGAAATCTATTCATTAGAACTTACTTTTGTTTTAAAAAATATTATCTCCGTTACTAACTAAAAATAAATTGATTTGAGTAATTCTGGGGCATAAAATGTCCATTTTCTTTCTCCTTTTATTTATGCCATTGTTCTGTTTTTACAGCTTACTGTGGACAGAGTGAGGTAATTCAACAGCAATTTTTCCAGTGTTTTTTCTCATGTACATATAATCGACGGCCCGGAAGACAGACTCCAGGCCGGTAAACCTGCCCTCTGCAGACAGACCTCCAAGGTCGACCTTACAAACCAGCTCTCCACTCGCATACATCTTAAGCAAGTGGTCCATGGCGGCTCGATACTTAGAAAGGTAATGGTTCAAGAAGAAGCCCTGGACGCTGGCGGATTTCTTCAGCAGTTTGGCTGGTAGTGTTACTGCTTTCACAGGGGACAGGCCAGTAGGAGTCTGGTAGCCAGAGACAAACCCAACCACTATCAAGCGCCCTTTGGTAGCCAAGGCGTCCACGGCCAAGTCAAACATGGCTCCCCCGACGGATTCATACACCACGTCCACACCTCGCGGGTACTCCTGCTTCAGGACAGCACCCACGTGCTCGCCGTTATAGTTGATGGGACGATCACAGCCAAGAGATTTCAGAAAGGCAGACTTTTCATCAGAAGAGCAAGTTCCAATTACATGGCACTTGGCCTTCTTTGCAAGCTGGACGGCAAACTGGCCGGTCCCCCCAGCTGCTGCGGTCACCAGAACTTTCCTCCCTTCTGATAGCTCTCCGAGTTCTTTCAGGCTGATGTAGGCCGTGGTACCACTCACCAGGAGGGTGAGATACTCGGGTTTCACGGCCGGCACGGGAATGGCCGTGCTGGCAGGCACCACTGTGTACTCGGCAAAAGAGCCAGGTGCCATGTAAGCCACAGCCTGGCCAACTGTGAATGTGGCACTGGAGGAGAGGCCCAAGGCCACCACCTCGCCTACACCTTCGAAACCTGCGTCAAAGGGGGTCTTGACGGAAGGGTCATAGCGGCCGGCTGAATAGTTTATGTCAGATGCATTAACACCAACAAATCTAGAAGAAAACAAACACAAATACATTCAGATGTTTTCTTCATCAAGGCCTTTCTAGCCCACTTAGAAAAAGTCCTCTAATTCTGGTGACTGTGGTGGGTGGTGAAGCTATATATTCTGATAGAATTTGAAAAAAACGGTCCTGATATTCAGTTCAAAAAAAAAAAAAGAGAGAGAAATCAAACAAGTATGATTTCAACAGTGATTTGTTAGAGTTTTGGTGTATTTTATTCTTTCATTAGTTTAGGAATAATTTCACATCCCTCTAAACAGCAAGCTATGTACTTCACATGCCATTTATCCCCCTCCGATTCCTTTCAAAAGAGAGAAAAAAAAAAAGTTAGGAAGCCCTCTTATACACAAACTTCACTGGAGCTATGAGTTGGAAATTAATTGGCCTCTTAACAAAGATGTTAAAAACAACAGTGGGATAAAATATATTCAAAGAAGTAGACGTGTATTGATTCTGGCAACAATTTAACACTTCAGATAATAATAGTAACGACAATGATATTATTAAAGATTGATGTAACGTGCAAGGTCACTGGCTGTTACACGTTATTGCAGGGGTTGTTTCAGTGTGAGCGAGGCTGCAGCAAATTTTCTTTCTCATGTAACTATGTCCAGCGTGAAAATATGCATTTTGATTAACTGACCAAAAATTGTCTCATAAGGGTAGAGAGATTTTTATGCAACATCCAACATTTTACAGTCCTTCCCAGATGAAAAGGAAAGCAAATCGGCACTGTATTTTCCCTCAACAAGAAGCAGAGACGTACTTGATTAATACCACATGATTATTTTCACTTGGTATCCAGAGTCAATTTAATTGCGAGGCTGGTATTTTTACCAGCTTTTTTTCATCTCAGTATACCTCATAACAGAAATATCCTGATACATAAGGAAAAAAGCCGTCTCCTAAGGATGTCAGGAGGTGGCTGAGACACCTAACACAGGACCCTAAAAATGTCATTTCCACCTGTAATGAAATGAAGAGGTGGTGGTATCTGGTGGCAGGAGGAAAGCTGGTAAAGTAGGCCATTTTAAAATAATTTACTTTTAATTTAACTTAATAAACCCCAAACTGCCCCATGCAAGGATCCACTTCCACTGTATTATAGACAATGCTTTGCACTTACACATGCGCCCTTATGATTGTGCCCTGTATATCTACACCCTCGAAAGCTCTCTACATCCTGTAGAAATAAGAAAGCAGGAAGCACTTTCCTTCGGGCACGTCCAGCCGCTTTCAGAGGTTAGCAGACACACAGCCTCACTAACACGCTACAGAATTCCATACCCATACGTGACACACAGTAACGAGAAGCGGGAATAATGATTTTTGGTGGCTTCTCATTTGGCCTTTAATACCAAGATGCCCACGGTCTATTTTTTGGAGTGGGGGGGAGGGGCCCCTACCTTTCCTTTCAATTTACCCAACTCTCCAGGCCTAGTCTTCTTTTAAAAAGGGGCCAGCTTCCTGAGAGCGTGCTTCTGGACCTCACGGAGGGCTGCCAGGGCAGAGCCCAGCTAGATCACCTCTTGGTGCCCTGCTCGAGGCTGCAAAGCCAACTCTATGGAGGCGTCCGCGAGGGTAGGAGCGGCGGGCTGTGCCACAGAGGCTGGGGGCCAGGGCGGATCGCCAGCTCCCTTCTCTTCGTCCCGTGGCCCTCGCCCCTCCCGTCTCATCCCCCTCCTTCCCCCCCACCCCAATCCGGCTGGCGTTTCTACCTTCCCAACCGCAGAGGCCCTTCCCTTGCGGGGAGCCCTTGCCTTGGACTCGGAGGGACGCCCCGGTGGGAGCTGGCCCCTCGGGTCGCCCCCCCCCCTCGGAACGGGCGTGCCCTGGGGGGGCTTCGAGCGGGAAGGCGCTGCTGGAGGAAAACGCAACCCCCGCCGTCTGCCGCCCCGGGCCGTGGTGGCCACTTCCCGGGGAGAGGTGGCGGGACCGAGCAGGGCGCACGCCCGGGAGGAAAGCGGCGGGGAGAGGGCCCCCGCGTGCGTGTGCGCGCGTGTTGGGGAGCTCTGCCGGGAGCTTGAGTTTACCACGGGGCTTTGCTGAAAAGCCCAAATCAAACATTGCGGCGGAGCCCGGCCGGCGCTGGAGCGGTGGCAGGAGGCCGCAGGGCCCGCCGCGCGCCCACTCCACGTCTCCGACTCCCTGCGGCGCCCTCAGTGTGCCCGGGCGAGCCTGCAGGGCGCCCGAAACCAGCGCTTCTGCGGGTGTCTCTTCTCGGAGGTGCCCTGCCTCCGCTGCCCCGCGGCCTCTCCACCGCCACCACCCAGACGCCATCAGTGAGTCCGACTCCCGGAGCGGGCTGGGGTCGCGGAGGTCGCCGCCCAGGCCCGCGACCGTGACCTCGGCCTCCCTGGGCCGAGCGGGGGTCCCGGCGGGCGCGCCCAGCTCGCATCGGCAGCGGAGCTCGGGCCCAGGGGTGGTCAAGTGCGAGGGGAGCCCCGAGCACACGGCGCGCCGGAGCGCAGAGACCGCGGGACAGAAGCCGCCGGCGGCCAGACCGTGACCTTGGCCTCAAAGGCACCCCCATTTTTCGTGTCTCCCCACCCCACCCTGCCGCCCTCTAAAGAGCCTGCGTTGTTGGTGAAGGAATCCCGAGATCCTACTCGGCTTCGCGCCCCTCGCCCTCTCCAGGGTCGCCCAGCCCCTGGTGCGCATCCCCACCTCTCCCTGGACCCCCGCTTTGACGCTGCGCCGCCGCCGCGGCTGGTGGGCACCCGCCGCTGCCCGGACGCGCCTAGGTTCTTACCTGGGCTTTGGGAAGAGCTGCGCGAGGGTCGGGAGACCGCGCCTTCGGCTCCGTCAGAAACAAGTTCAAGAGCAGCAGGCGCAGTGGGCAAGGGGTCCGGGTCGGGGGAGCAGGGGAAAGGAAGAGCGCGCGAGCGAGAAAAGAAGGAAGGGGAGACGCGCATTGGGACCCTCGCCTTGTACCCCCCTTTAACTTCAAATATGTGCTTTTAATGAGTGCAGGAGTCTAGCGATCCGACGGGCAGACCCACTCAAAAGACTAAAATCGAGGAACCCCAAGAAAAAGAATGGGGCGGGGCGGGCTTTCCCCAAATATATACCCTTCCAGAGTCACTCGGTTTATTTATACTAAAAAGTGATGAACCCCTTCGTCATGTTTATTGTGAAACAGGGCAGCCCTCAGAGGGCCTCAGGGAAAGGCTTTTCTCTGAACAAAAACCAAACCTGAAAACTCAAGTCCAGAGCAAAAGCCTTCAATACTGGGAGACAAAGTCGTCCAAACCAGACCTTCCCTTTAAAAAAAAGAAAGAAAAAAAAAAAAAAGAAAAAGAAAAGGAAGGATGAAGGAAAAAAAGCTTGGCCTGGAGAATCAGCAGAAATAATTACCCTCCCGTGAGCAACAAACGGTTTATCAAAAACGCCTTCCCCATCCCCCATTTTCTGTTTGCCATTCCTACAAACTCTTTGCTCCATTATCTTACACTTGAGCAGAAAATCGTTAGAAATATTTGGAAACGAAATAATGTGTCACTATCTTACAGAAAAAGCTAAAAATAGTGCGCGAACTGACTTAACCAGAAGGTGTCTTTCTCCCTTTTTTCTTTTCTTTTCTGCGGGCTGGGCATCCAGGAAGAGAAGCAAGGTCGTCCTCGTATGTTTGAAACCGGAAGGTGAGAACCGGATAAAGGAACACCGATGACATTCTGGAGGGATTCTAGGCTCCCCTTCTCACACCTTTCCTAAATGGTAAACCTGATTATCTTAAATCGATGTTTGGCTTAAAAAGCACTTCCCTCACCGTGAATAAAAAATTTGTATTTTCTGTTAAAATGGAATGAGACGTGCAAAAGGTTCCACTGAAAAAAAAAGTCAGACGGAGCACAATTAAAACCCCCAAACACCTTTCCAAACAAGTGAATTTGGGCTGAATCCATTCATTCCAGAGCAGATTTTATTACGATAAAAATAAGAAGCTCTTGCACAAAATTGTCATGCAGTTAATACTGTTTGGGGCGATTTCGTCTAGGATTAAAATGAAGTAACCTGCAGCGAATTACTAAGGCTCTATTCTTAAAAAAAAAAAACAACAAAAAACGGTAAAATGCCTCCCTTACTGACAACGTTTGCTAGAATAAAGGATCTTCTCACAATTTGGGGGTGGGAGCAGATTTTCCAACAGAGTAAGGAGAGGGAGAAGCAAAGGTTCCGCCCCTCCCCAGAAGCAGAAAACTCGCCCAATTCTTCTGTTGCGGATTTCAAAGTAGAAGTTAGAGGTCAAGCGTTTAGTATAAATATACTGTTTATATTAAAGGGATTTTTGTCATATGGGGATGGAAGATAGAAGCATGGATCTCCTCCAAATTGAGGAGCTTCCAACATGGCAGCCGGCGCTCCAGAACTCCGACCACCCAATTCAGGGACCGGCCCCGGTTACCCAAAGCGGGGAAGGGGGGCACAACCGGGGGAGCCGGTGCCCTGGAGGTGGGGAAGCCGGGCGGCCGGGAGCAGCCTCCACGACGGCGCGGGCGGGGGGCCCACCTCTCTGCCGCTGGGAGTGCTGGAACTTCACACCTTCCCCTGCCTGCCCGGCTCAGTCGCCCCCTCCCCATTTCACACCCTGTTTGCAAAAGGTATTATTTTTCTAAGCAGTCGTGGGTGTGTGTACATCAGTGTTCACCATCACCAGTGCAGTGCATCGGAAAAAGAAAAAAGAAGAAAAAAAAAAAAAGCCTGGGTGAAACTTTGCCTGTTAAGTCTGTTTGGAGGCTTTTCAGTCTGAATCTCATCTCGACTTCCAGCAAATCACTCGTGTGTTCTGTATGTTCTGCGTGAACACACACGCCTTTCTTTTTAACTTGGTAGGACGCGTCCGGATCTCGACAGCCTTAGCCTTTCAGGGCACGATGAAGTCCTTTGCAGCCCAGTTTCCATCAGTGCAAAATTTTTAAAGGACACACACGGCCCACCTTTTAAGGCACTCCCCGCGCCCACCTCATCCCCAGCCTCCACTCAATCCCGCCCTTGGCTCACTCAATTTCTAAGTTTCCAACAGGTCCCCAGAAGTTTCATGTCATGATCAGAATTCTGAAGTCTTCCAGCCTTGTTTGGAAGGCTGATATGAATCTTTACTAAAATGGACACTTAAGCTTTACCCCAAGCTATTTAGATAAGATGCATTTTGTCCTTCAGTCCTCGCAGGGGACTTGGTCCTTTCTAGCACACCACTTACAACACGGTTACAACCAGAATTTACTTCTCCCTTCGAAAGTACTATTCAACCTGAAATATGCAACACTGGAACCCCTCAGACGGGACTGAGCGGGCGGGCGAGTCCTGCTTTTGCCCAGGGAGTAGAGGAACGGGGACCGGCCCGCCTGCAAGCCCGGCTGCCAAGGGACCCACCCGGCAGACCCGCGGGCACGGCTCCGAAGAGTGAGGTCCCTTCCTTCCTGTTGCTTCAGCAGTTAAAAGATTAGTGAGGTGGAAACACCCTCAGGTGGGAAGTATGGAGGTGGAAAAGACAGTCCAAAGGTCGGGCAACGACCCGAGCGAGTGTCACCCGAAGGTCTGCAAAACGTGCGGCCCAATGCAGCCATGCTCCCACCCCGGCCCCTGCCCAGCCGCCCGGGACGCGCGCCACGCGCCCGTCGGTACGCTGCAGGGCACAGACGACAGTCACACAGCACTGACAACACGCAGACGGCACCGGCGAGGCGCACACCGACACACCCAACGACAGGCTCCGCCATTGCGAGGCGGCTGCCAACCTGGAGCAAACGGGAAAAGCCAGCGGGTCCCCGGCCTCCTTCCTCCAAAGCACGTTACCTAAATGTCGCAGTTTGTGTCCAGGCTGTTCCCGCTCCACCCTAAAGATTATGCGAACGCAGGAGCCGTGGGTGCGCGCGGGTGGGCAGGGCGGGGAGCCTCCCCTTCTGGGTCCCGTCGGTTTTATTTCGGGAGCGGGAGGGGGAGGAGGGAGGGCTGGGGGAGGGGAGGGGAATCCCAAATTAAAATAACCCTCAGCTTTGAGGACGTTCGGTGCCATCGGATATTCACACGAGCAACAGTCACATTACATTCGCCTTCGCCAGATGGCGGCGGGTTCAACTTCCCGGGATCTCGCAAAGTCAGGGTTTGCGCCCGAGCGCGCGCCGGGTGTGGGGACGCAGGCGGGCGCGGGACAGCCCGGGAGCTGCGCAGCGCTGGCCGGGGCCGGGGCCCGGGCCGGAGCCGGGGCGGGGGGCGCGCGCCGGGCTCACCGGTTCCGGACGAGGAGGTCTCCGTCCCCGGGGAGTGGCACCGGGCAGTCCCAGCGCAGGGTGACGGCCTCGCGGAAGTTGGGGCTCAGCCGGGTCACCACCAGCTTCTGCATGGCGCGGGGGATGGCCGAGCCCTGGAAGTCCAGGAAGTGGCGGGAGTACGACATGTCCACGATGGCTCGGGCCCCGGCAAGCGCCAGCCGCATCATGACCCGCGCCTCCGCCTGCTTTCTGCGCCGCCGCCGGCCGGGGTCGCGCCCAGCCCTGGCCGCTCGGCTCGGCTCCGCGCTGCGGGCGGAGCGGGCGGGTCCGCCCCTCCTCCGGCCCGCGCCCTCCCTTCGGCCCCCCCCCCCCCCCGCCTTCCCCACTATGCCTGGCGCCCGCTCCCCCCCTCCTGCCCCGCGGGGAGTCAGCGCAGCCCCCGCGGTTCCCGGGCGCGCCACCCCCGGGGTCCGGGCCGGGGGGATCGCTGCCGCTCCGGCCACTGCTCCTTTAATCTTTTTGTTTTGGTTTGAATCTGCTCGGCGCAGACTGGCCAAGGATCTTCTCCGCCCTCCCCCTTCCTCCCGGCGCCCGGGAGGCACCGGATATCCCCACCCTCCCCACGGTCTAAAAGCCGGATTTGACTCCTCTAAAAGGGTGAGGGGGGCGGCGAGGGGACCCGCGCGTCCCGCGATCGCCGCGGCCCACAGCCGGCGGCAGTCCGGGGCGTCCTCAGAGCTGCGCGGCGCCCGGCAGCCGGCGCAGGCGCCTCCCCTTCCCGTGCGAAGCGTTCACTTCCTTGCAAGGTGGTACGAATCAACCCCGAGCGCGGCCAGGGCGGCGGGGCACGGCCAGGGCCCGGAGCCGGGCGGGGAGCCCTGGCCGCCGGGGCGCCCTCAAGGGCACCCAACGCCGGGCGGGGGGCGCCCAGAGCATCCTGCGCCCCAGGCTCTTGGACCCCGTGCCCACAACGCCTTGCCCGCGCCTTCTGCCCTTAGTCTGTCCCGTGCAAGTTGCACGAACTAAGCCGTTTTATTTATTTTGGCCAAGATTTCGTGTTTTCCCATGAATGTTGTAAGTGGCCCCTGCAAGACTGTCACGGGTTTCCCATTGGGAAAGAACATATATATTGGAAACCAGAGGACCAAATTCCCAGAGCACATAAACATTTTAAACTTCTGGGTGGGGATGCCGAGGGACTTAATTGAATTGGAGACGTTGGCATGATGTATGAAGACCTCTTTTTATAACCCAGCTAGAAAGATCTGCAGTTCCATCGTGTCAATTTTCTTCCTAATTGTTTGTATTGACCAAACAATCAATTCACTTTTCACAGAGGGACCAGATTACATATTTTCCACATATTTTGTGTAATGAGCAAAGTCCATCATTAAATTTTTATTAAAGGTATACATTTTAATAATTTTTTTTTGTTTTCCACTTACCCATTAATTAACCAAACTATAAAAGCCGCGTAGTGCCCCTCCCCAATCAGATCTAACCCCCGAAACTAAGATTGCGAAAGTGACACAGGTATTTTTATCTCAAATGTCGGACATTCCTCATCCAAGGGTAGTTTGTATCCACGTGGGTGCATGTGTGTATGAATGTACAAGCGGGGGCGGAGGGGGAGACTTACAGGTTTAAAAATCTGCAGGAACTAGTGTCTACTTAACTTGGCTTACAGCACATGGGTTTTACCCAGTATCAGCCGGTGGGTTGCAATAACAAACCCCTCAACGTCTTTCTCCAATGTGCAATCTTTTATGTTATGCCGTATTAAGATTTCTTTTTTGTGTCATATTGTTCAGCTAGGAGAAAAAAAAAAAGAAAACAAAGCAATTAAAAAGATTGACAGGTATGGTTTGTGAGAGACCTATTTGTAATTGTCAGGGTGACGTTGGCAAGAGGAGGAGGAGTAAAAACTGAAGCCGGAAAAGCAGCTCGATGTGTCTGTCTATCAGTTGAGACTGTCTGAAAGCTCTGCGATCCGAATGTGTGTTATATTTCACTGAAAAGAGGAGAGAGCGAGAGTGCATCTCTCTCTCTCCCAGGAGTTTGGGGGGGACAGTCCACGCTCATCTCGCCCACCCAGTGAATGTCTGCTCTTCACCCCTTCGCACACACTCTCCGGGTTGTTGTTGTTGGCTTTTTTTTTTTTTTTTTGGAGGAGGGGTGCTTTTTCTGTATTTTTCAAATTTTTTTCTGTTGGAAGATCAAGACCGGCCAAAAATCCATGATAAAAATGTGTTTGCATTAGATTTCGCATCGGAAGAACTGGCGATCCTGGCGGCACAGCCCCGCGGGGAGCGCGGGGCACCAAGTGGCGCTACGGCGGGGTGACACTGTTTGATCTGTGACTGTTTGGAAGGTGGAGCAGAGCCTGACATCTCCCCCCGGCGCATGTATGTACGGGGGCTTCACTCCTCTGTCTTGTTTGCTTTCTTCCTCTTAGACTAAGTGCGGGGAGGAAAAGGACAGCCCGGATCGGCCTCGCCGGCGCACAATGAGCAAGCTACGACCCGCGCACTAAACACACTCGCCGCGACCCCCGCACCGCCTGGAGCGAGGCGGAGAGAAAGTTGCGCTCGGAGACTCTCAGCTCGCGGAGGAAGGCGCAGGGCAGCGCCCGCAGCGGCGCCCGGAGGAGCGCCCGCCAGCAGCACCGCGGCGGCAGGGAGGCGGCAGCATGGAGCGCGGGCCGCGGGCCGGCCCTCCGAGCGCCCGCCGCTGCGCCCGCGGCCCGCACCGGGGATGACTCCGGGCTCGGCGCCCAGGCCCCGCGCGCTACGCCCGCAGCCCGGCGGCCGGGACGCGGCCCTCGCGGCGGCCGCCGCCGCCGCCGCCTCCTGAGCGGCCCCGGGCGCGGCCGTCCATGCGAGCGGCGCCCCGCGGACCGCGGCGCGCCCGGAGCCCGGAGCCCGCGGGGACGAGGCCAGAGTTGGGCGCGCCGCGGAGTTGCGCCCGCGCCCGGGGCCCCGCGTCCCCGCGCCCCGCGAACTCCGGCGGCGGCTGAGGCGACGGCTGCGCGGCCCGAGCAGCATGCCGAGGAGGAAGCAGCAGGCCCCCCGGCGCTCGGCAGGTAACGGGCGCGCGGGCCGCGCCGCGGGAAGCGGGGCCGGGAGGAGCTCCGCGGGGGGGCGGGGGGCTCGGCGGCCGGCGCGGGGGGCGGGGGCGCGGGCGGGGGACGCGGGCGGCGCTCCCCCTCCGGGCCCGGCAGGGAGGCCAGGCCCTTGCCCGGCCGCCGGCGCCCCGGGCCGCCGCCCGCGTCCCCCCACCTGGGCCGGCGCGCGGAGCGGAGAAACTTCACGGCGCTTCTCGGCGCGGTGAGGAGCCCTGACGCGCCGGGGAGGCCGGGGGAGGCCCGGGGCCGCCGGACTGTCGGAGCTCTGGGCCGCCTCGGGAGGGGGCGTGCGCCGGGCAGACATCGCTCCTCCGCGGCCTGAGTGCGCTGGGAAAGTCCTCCGGAGGCGGGGAGG